AAAGACCCAAAGCAAATAAAATGTTGACATATTTGAAAAAGTGAAATTTAAATAAGCAACCCACTTTACTAAAATTTTAGTTATCAAGTCTTTACTGAGTACTTACTATGGGCCAAGGATTCAGTAACTGCCTCTAGATGACTGCATCACTTTTTAAAACTATATCTAAAATTTCTACGTGCATATTTTCAAAAGAAATGAAGTTTTACATAAAAAGTTAAAATACTGCTCTAAGTTGTTAAAAGCCACAATTTTACTTCAACTTCAAAAATCACAATTTCACTTTAATGAAAGCATCTCACTTTAGTTTCAAACAATACTATATAAAAATGAACACTACTTTATATACAAAAGTAGAATTGCAACAGGCATGGTAGCACATGCCTAGAATCTCAGCCCTCTGGAGGTTGACTACAGATATGAAGTTTAGTTATAAATTAATAATTGTTGAAGCCAGTATATGCAGAGTTCATAACATTATTTTTATATATTTTTAGACTTTAATAATAAAACATAACAGTTAACAATTACTATTATAGGTAATTCTATACTTTCTGGATCCAGGAAAATAAGTTGATTACTTCTCTATAGTTGGTAACACAATTACTGTCTCTCCCTATCATTCAGTAGTCTTATGCAAGTGAACCCTTGAGACTCCTTCACAAATTTAAAAACATGCTGCTTTCCTTTGGTACATCTTTAAGTGCTATCGTTTTTCAATCGATATAGTAGTGCCCCTTTATCTGTTTTTTTTCATAGTTTATTACCCACAGACAACCATTTTTCATAAAAAATATTAAATGGAAAGTTCCAGAAATAAAGAATCCACAAGTCTTAAATCATGCACTACTGAGTGGTATGGGGAAATCTTGCACTGTCCTGCTCCACCAGTTCTGATGTGAATGCAGCAAATCCACACTGTATAACCTGCTAATCATGTAGTAGTCATCTCAATTCTCAGATCAAAAGTTACTGCATCACAGTGCTTGTGTTCAAATAACCATTTTTACGTGTATCATGGCCCCAAAACTCAAGGGTAATAATGCTGGCAATTAGGGTTATAACAAAGAGAAAATGTAAAGTGTTTCCTTAAAGTGAAAAGGTAGAAGTTCTTGATTTAATGATAGAAAAAAAAACTGTATGGTGAGATTGCTAAGATCCACAGTAAAAATGTATCTTCTATCCAAAAAAATGAAAAGGAAAAAACCTTATGGTAGCTTTGCTGTCAATTTCAAACTGTCACACATCAAAACTGCAAAACCACAGCATAAAATAAGTAGTAAAATAGAGAAAGCATTAAATTTGTGAGTGTAAGACACTGCTATAACTGTTTTCATTAGTGTTAATTTCTTATTGTTCCTAATTTATAAATTAAACTTATAGACATGAATGTACACAGTAAAACCAGTATATAAAGTGTTCAGTCTCATCTACAGCGTTAGGCATCTTAGGGTCTTAGAATGTATCCACCCTGCCCCAAGGAGAAAATTGCAAGTCATTTTTATTGAGGATAATAAAGTAAAGGCTGGGACTTCAAAAAAGAAAAACAAGAGACAAATTAAAGATTAAGCACAGTTCTCTAAAAAGCAGAGCACATATTCAGCATGCACAAGGCCCTGGGTTCACCTTCAGGAAAGAACAGGGGGAGCAAAAATAAAGAAGGGAGGGAAAGAGGAGGTGAGGGAGCTAAAGGAAACCCAGACCTTAGAAACAAACTACATTCCTTAGTAGACAAGTGCTGAAGGCCAAACATACTAAAGCACTGTCAGCCTATGTTTTGACATGTACAGCATTTATTATGGACAGAGTCATCATCATATAACTGTAAGTACTGAGGAAGGATATATGTTCTGTCAAGTACGTATCACATTCTTATGGTCTTAATGGAACTTCAAATCGTAAAATGAGAAATGTGCTGGAAATTTACAGTGAGAACAGCAAAGAAATAAATGCCTTCTAATTGTATGTTATCTACATAAAGCAAAACAAATATGTAAGCTTTCACTGAAACTGGAATGATAGGGGTGAGTCTAAAGTTACCAGAGAATGAGAAGTGTTGCTACACTCATTACTACAAATTTAGTAAGAGTAAATACAAAATAACCCTCGATAGGTTTATGTACTATCTCAAATTTACCAATCTTATTTGTTTGTGTACATTATACTTTGTCTCTTCAATGAAACAGAGCAACTTAAACTATCTTTTTACAACTTTAAATATTCAGTACTTGAGAGTTCTTCAAAAAGTTAAAACAAATTACCATTTCCAGGTATATAACTCAAAGAACTAAAAGCAAGTGTTTAAACTCTTCTAATCAAAGGTTCACAGCAGTACTATTCACAATAGCGAAAGGGTGGGAACACTTAAACATCCACAACAAATGCAGGAATAAACAGAACACAGTAAATCCAGACAAAGGAGTATTATTCAGCCTTTAAAAGTGAAAAATTACAGATACAAACTATAATGTACACAAACTTCTAACACATTATGCTAAATGAAAGAAACCAGACAGACATAATAAAGGGTACATACTACATGGTTCACTTTACATGAAATATCTGAAACAGATTAATCCACGGAGACAGAAAGCAAATTAGTGATTAGAAACTGGAGAAAGGAAATGGGGAATGACTGCCCAATGGGTTCCTGATCTCCTTTAGACATGACTAAAATTTTTTAAATTACAGAGGTGATAGCAAAACAACATTGCACATGTACTAAATGCCACCGAACTGAACACTTTAAAAGAAATTTTGTTATGTCCACTTCTATAAATACAAAAACCCCAAAAATGTAGTTCAAAAATAGATGTGTTTACTATCTCTTCATATCACAACATATTGTATTAACATTGTTTTCTCAGTTTATGATACCTGATTACTAATCTTTCTTTCTTTAATCCTATAAGAGATATCTTACTAAACTCACTTCTTTCCTCTAGAATCCTCATTTCCACATGGCTCAGTTGCCTCTTACCTTCCTATCAGTATTTCAATTTTCCCCCCAAGAAACCTTTGTTCTATAATGAGAACAGCCAACTTGTTCTTCTATGTTCCTCAGATTTATGACTTTAAAATGATCGTTAACTTCTTTGATCTCTTACCCAATAATAAGTTATGTCCATATTCCCCACTGAAAGCTCTCCCTTAAATCCATTTCCTCCTTGCTGTATAATACTGTATTCCTCCTACAACTACTTACCTCAGTTCAGATTACTACAAAGAAATCCCATCCACCCATCCCATTTGAAAATTGCAAACTCTACAATTCATCCTCACATAGTCACTAGAATCCTTTCTAAAATAGAAACGTAAACATGTTATTTACCTGCTTGAGATCCTTCAATGGTTCCAGGATTTTCAAAATACTTAAGACGGTCATAGATTTAGCACTTTAAAAGCAGACCCTATTGCTCTTACTGCACTTATAATCCCTCACCTCCCAACTACCATCTCAAACTTGTACATCCTGAAACTCACTGTTTTCATTATGTTACGCTTCTGTACACGCTATTCTCTTCACCCAAAACCAGCACTCCAACCTCACCAACAGTCCTTCTCTTCAAAATTCAACTCTTACACCTTGACCTCCAAGTCTTTTCCAACTCTCCAGTCTGAAATAAGTGTTTTCCCAAGTTTCCCTGCCAATTATTCTTTCCCTCTTAGGATATTTTCAAGGTTAGCTCCTTTAAGGCTGCCTTTCAATGACCCAATAGTTACACAATACAACTTTAATTAATAAGCTTACGCTACTACATGTCTCCTTTTTAAATGAAACCTGTCTTTTGCCAACAATACCTTGCAAGTAGTAAGCTTGGAGTGGAAATATCTTGTCTTGATTCTGTGTTAAATAACTATTCTATCTTCTTTTTGCTGTCAAATTCTAAGGTCAGGAAAATACAGCCTATGCTAGCCACCAGTTTTGTAAATAAGATCTTACTAGAAAAGTCACTCCCATTTCTTTAGGTATTACATAAGGTTGCATTCACACAAAGGCCTTGTTGAATAGTTAGCTAAGAGATGCTAGAACCTAGAAGCCTAAATAACTTCCTGTCTGACTCCTTAAGTAAAGATTGTTATACCCTGGGGATCTGAGCTACATCTACATTCAATGTCATTATTTCTTCTGAGAACAGCAGAGCACCACTAAAGGTTTTGTTTTGTTTTGTTTTTTTGTGGTACAGGGATCGAACTCACGACCTCGCACTGCAGGTGCTTATGCCACTGAACTAAATCCCCGGCACTCCACTAAAGGTTTTAAATCATTAGTAAAGCACCATGAGTAAAGGGGTATCTCAAAACCTTTAGTGAGTAACAAACCATTCCAAAAAATTTGGCATTATGCACAAAGTGGAAAACAAAGAAAAGAGACTTGGTAAAGGAATGACTTTTTAAAACCAGATCATTACATGGGACAGAGGAAACAAAGCTAATGCCAAAATCTTAATCTTCCGTGAGGTAACTGCTGGAATTTGCATTCTCTCCAGCAATCTACTTTACACTTTCAGCTTTTCATATTTTTCTTACTGGCTAATTAGTTTCTAAAATTATAATACTAATTCCACATTTCCTGTGTACTATGCTTACTATATTGCTAATTCTGGGGAAAGCAAAGTATTTAGGAAAAGGCAGTCCCAGCAGAGTGCCAAATTGAGTACAAGAGCAATGTCAGAGATAGATGGAGATACAGTACTCACCTGTTGTATCAAGCAGAGAGAGAAGGAAACTAAGATTTCAGGTCCACAACTGGCTCTAGCCAAATAGAAAAAAGTAGCTACAAATCTGCTTATAGAAAAAGGAAGGTCTTTGGTACTCTACATATTCTTTCTGATGTTCAGACAGACCACCAAATAGAGTAGCCTCTGGTAAGAGAGTTTCATGAGAAATAATATCAAAAGTGAAAAATTAAATAAAGTAGACCCTATTGGTCATTTGTCTAGGAAAAGCAGTCCTTATTAAAGATGATACTACTTTCCAAAATGCCCTATGATACTAACCTTCAGTAACAGAGCTTTCACATCCCACAAGGTTGAGAAGGATATCATCATCTTTCTCATCTACTTCACACCCCAGTAGCATCCAGCTTTCCACGTTTTCACTTTCAGAAGTGATGCTTTCTTCCTCTTCACTTGAACTGACCTCTATAACCATGACTTCTTGGGTCACACCTGATCTTTCTTCAGGTTTAGGCTTCTCAATTTCCTGTTTGCATTTCTGATCGGCCAACTCATCAGAATAAGGAGAAGCAGGAGGACCTCTGGTCTTTTTCTGTGTTTGGACTCTAATGTTCTTTCTTTTACATCTATAAATACTATCTTCATCAGACAAAGTGATGACATCTGATTCATCTGATAGCTGTATGACTTCACTATCTGAAAGGACAATTAAGTTCTGATGTACTTCAGTATTCAACTCAGAATTCCCAGAGTTCTTTTCTTCAAGACCTTCCTCCCTGATAGCATTACTGAGATCCTGGGCATAATGAACTTGGCTGTAGAGTTGAAATTCCACCTCACTATCAACACTCAGTTCACTAGATGATTCCTCACGATAAAGGTCATCTTCATATGCTTCTATGGTCTCATAGCCACCAAACATTATGGAAAGTCAGGGACCTCAATTCTGTAAAAGAGAAAATCATATCGTGTATTGTAAAAGCTCATTTTGTCTGGTTAGTGCATTTCACCCTACAGAATCAACTTCTATGTAAAATTCATTACTTTTCTCTGACACATTAAAATACATTTTTCCTTATATCTTTTTTCCATGGATTTCTAAATTGTTATGATTACTATAACATCATCCTCTCAATTACTATCAATAAATTGAGTTATAGTTATTAATGGGAAAATAATTCACAGGCATAGGGGGAAAGAACAGGTTATGATCTACTGCTTGACAGAGAACACTTGTTCTCCAAAATGTTAAGACTTGCAAAGGGATTTTAAGTGTCTCTTGCTATTTCACTTACTTCTAATCTCTTCCTTGGTTCTAGTTCTGTATCTCCTCTTTTCACAAACACATCCTTAATAAAGAAATATTACTTCATCAACTCTGACCAAAATCCACAACATAAAGCCACCACTGTATTTCTGTTTGAATGTAGATGTTAATTCCCCATTTAAAAATTAATCTCAAGGCAAAGGAGTATAGTTCAGTGGCAGAGTACATGCCTAGCATGTGCAAGGCCTTTGGGTTTGATCCCCAGTATGAAAAAAAAATTTTAATCTCACAACTATCTAATGCTAGGCCAAAAGAATAGTCTTCTAAAAACCTCTGATAAAACTTTATTTCTATATTGACTATAAATATATTTAAAAAATAAAAACTTACTAAAACATAAAATTAAGGTAAAACTCCCAGCTTTGGGAATACATGCAAAAGAAAAACATTTCATTTTCCTACTATGCACCATTAAATCCTGCTCATCCTACAACTCACTTAACATTACTTCCCACCAGACTAAATTAAGTGTCCTTGTTATAGGCTTCCACAGCACTTTATATTTCAAAACACTCATCATATTTCTAATTACTTATTCAATGTAAATGACCCAGAAGCACATTTCACAAACCTCAGAAGGACAGGAACCATATGCACTTTGTTACACAAATGGATACCAAAGCTAAAGGTAATATTTAGGGAGACTCCAATATATATATGCTGACTTAATCAATGAGTACATGAGTTATATCATCAAGTTTTTGCTCTTCAGGCCTGGTAAGTCTAACAGCTTCCTACAATATAGAAATTACAATCAAATATCAGTTGTCTGCAACTATTCCAAAGAAGAAGTTCTCATATCAAACAAAAATCTGTATAGGAGTTTCAATTATAAATTTATGAAACACTAATCAAATAAGTTTCAGAAAAGTTATTTGTTCAAATATTAAGGATACCCTAGAAAAGTTAACAATGCCAATTTAGTCTTTCAAGAACAGTTCTTTTCTTAGTTTCCCAATTTTCTGTCCCAAATGTCAGGATTTAGTGACTGTGATGGTAGGCTTCTTGTTTTTATTTTCTGTGACAGAACCAAATAATCCAATAAATAAATAAGAACCCCAAAAGCACTAAATTCAAGCTGCAGGGTTTTTTTGCTTTACAGAAATGAAGAAAACAACTCTTAATACCTTTTTTTTTTTTTTTTTTTGGTAAAGGTCCAAAATATCTGTCTCTTTGTTGAATTATCTTTCAGGGTGGTGTACGTTTATTGTCATAGAAGTTGAATGTGGTTGTCTGAATAATAATGTTCATAGCATCTATCAGTTTATATTGAAATGTTAGCCTCAGAGGAATTCAAATGAAAAATGAATTCATTCCTTTTTACTTTAATAGGTAAATTAATTCTAAAAGAAGTCAAAGGAATTATGTTTCCTTCAAAATCCTCACTGGATCCATCCTGAAGGATCCAGTGTGGACTAAAGATAAAACATAATTCCAGTGCAGTACAGAAAAAAATTAAAGAGCTAAATTACAGAGTTACAAATTTGTACTACTCTTGGAGCCATCCCAAAGGAAAAGGATTAAGAATAGAGCCATAGGCACACCTGTAAATGTATGCCAAAAATAAACTACAGAGCCATAATAAAAACTGACTTCCTTGGGTCTAAGGATTTATCTCTTTCCTTGAAATGTAGAAAAACGAATTTAACAATTTAGCCCCTATGGCCTTTAAGAGGATTTTGTACTTCTGTACTTGAAAATTGTGCTCAGGCGAAACTCAGCTCCTCTATTTATATAGCTTACATATGCCAGGGTTAAGGTTTGCCTCAGGCTGTTTTGGTTTATGTTACTACTTTAATTACATTCAACTGCATTTTTTTTTTAAAAAGTATACTGGAAGATGAATATAAATATATATGATAAATTAATTCTAAAATACATATACACCTTGATTCAGAAATCTTTCTCAGCTTTTCAATGACTGCACAGGATTCCCAAGTATATTTCACCTAATAACAGAAGGTCCTCATGAAAGTCCTAAACATTTAAATCCCAAAAGGTACCTTCTGAGTTATTTCACACAGCCTCCTTAATGGACTTTTATAAAAGGAAACTGATGTCCAAAGAGGTAACAAGACCTCTCCAAAATTAGGCAGCTAGTAAAACACAACTAGAAGTCATTCACATTTTTCTGACTTTTAGTCAGACCTCACTAAAATTTTCTTATTTCTGGTTTTGTTTTTTCACTAAGATTCTAAAATAAAAATTTTAAAATAAGTAATTTCAGATATTGTTACATGTTCATTGTGTCTAGCACCTAAATTCACTCCACACATATCCACTCTGCTTCTCACTGGTATATAAAAACTTTAAAAGAGGCACTTTAATTAGAAGGCAAGGCACGTATTTAGATTATCAGTTCACTATCCAAGCACTTCCCAAGCTGGTATTCAGACTGTGTCAATTCTATGACTAAAAAAGATGGTTCCTAAACAAATACATAAAATATCACCTACGTGTGAAACTCACCTAAAGAATTAAAATGGCTTACCAAACACAAAACAGCTATAAAAAAAAAAAATAACTACAAAGATTCTTCCCATCAAGAGGCCACAATATTCACTCACTCAATTTTTTTAAAGTAGACAACTTATAGGTTTGTCTAAGCTCTTGCAATCCACTTAACACAATGTTTAGAGCAACTCTTCTGCTTTAATAATCCACCAATTGGATCATTCCAAATATTTAAGCATTTTCAGCTTAGATGTTCATATAAGAATCCACTTCAGGCATATTTAAATAAAACCCACAGCTTTTTTCTTTTTTTCCTTTCTTTTTTTTTTTTTTTTTTTTTTTTTTTGGTGGTGGGGGGCTGTTTTGGTCTGGGATTTTTTTGAGGGCTTTTTTTTTTGGGGGGGGGAGGTTGTTTTGTTTGCAGTGTTTGGGATAGAACCCAACACACCGGGCACAATTCAGCCCTACAGCTTAATTTTAAATCCAGTTTTCACTGGAAAATGACACCTATACTTTATTCTCAACATTTCTCACTCTTAAGTGTGTGGCCCTGATAACGAAATTAAATATTAAGATTCAAATTTCTGTCCATCTTTCGAGTGTGACTGCCACTTGAAATCAAATATAGCTGGCATACAGAATCCAAATGTGTAAAACGATGATCACAAAAATGAGAAAGGCACAATCCTGAGGGGAGAAAATTATGTTAAATTTACTGAGGTAATTCCCAGCTGTCCATGGAATACGTAAATGCTTTTTGAAAGAACTAAACTGGAAACCCTTCTCCATTCCCTCGACTATCCTCCTTTTTCCATATAGTCCCTTACTTCTGTAACTATCACATTGCCCACATTGAATTCTTTCGCAGTTCATTTAACACCCTCACATTCTCTTGAAAGCAATATTAAACTGTTCTCCCAAGCCTTAACAGTCTTATACATACACAGTCCTCTCAAAGTCTTCGTAATCGAAAGTTCTGAACAGACTCGAGACAGTTATCAAAATAACGCTCTCATGTATTCGTGGAGAAACGGGGCTTATAGAAAAGGTACCAGTGAGTCAAAAGAAAGTCCTAAATGATTTCTTAGTTCAACCCTGAAATTCAAACTAATCATAAATTCAGCCTAAATAAGATATGTACCTAATTCAATCCTGAAATCTGAAATAACTGTGAATTCAGCCTAAAGGAGAGAGATGCAGGCACCAGCTACTCAGTGGTGCACACTTGGTGGACTCCAAGACAGTTTTTCCAAATACCAGCAGCATCTCCCCCAAGCTTAAGCCATCAGTCGGCTGAAGGACGTGAGGGGTAACAGAATCTCGGTGAATAAACTCTAAGTCGTCCAGGAATGGACGCCGCTCCCGAAATCGCTGGTTCCACAGCTGCAGCTGCTACTTCGGACGGGGGAGCTCGGAGTTAGCCCCGGACTATGAAGTCCTCACGGGCCGGGGTCCCGGTCCGCGCAGCGGGACGTCGGCGTTTAACTCACGGACCCGCCTTCCTAAAGCGGGACTCTGGGGGAAGGCTGCAGTCGGTAAAATGGGCAAAGGCCATCCCGTCAGGGGCCATGACGCTCAGGCCTTCTTGTATGACGGCCTCAGGCCGTGGAGGGAGAGGGAGACGCCAACACCCCAGCCTGTCAGCCCAGCCGCGTGCGGCAGCGCGCGGCTCGGGAACCAGGACCAGCATCCAGACACGAGCAAGGTGGGGCTGGGGGCGCGGAGGCTGGCGCGGCGGCTCGCGCTACTTCCACAGCCCAGCGGGTAGCACGCAAGGCGGGCAAGGGTCTCCCGACCGTGGGAGGCTCGGGGTCCGTCACACACATACTCACTGACGCCGCTGAGACCAGGAAGCACCAACCAGGAACCAAAACGCGGAGAGGGACGGGGAGGGGCGAGGACAAATGAGGTGAGGAAGCCGCGTCCGCGCGTAGCCGGGAGGAGGGAGGCACTTCCGGGAAAACACAGCTCTGCGCCGGCGTCCTTCCGTCTCCGCCCACCTCTCGGGCCCTCCGTGCGCCTGCGTAGCAATGGTTAGCTCTTTTTGCCTTCCCCGCTAAGTTTTTGCTTTGCTTTTTTTGCTTTGCTTTTCCTCCTTCACACCTCCTTTTGATAAAAACCTAGGCTGAGTCTAGGATGGTCTAAAGTTTGTTTCAATTCGTAGAACGAAAGAAATGCTGTGTCCGTGGCCAAAGGGGAGCGCGCGCGCCTGTGGTGCCCGCGAGGAAACTTCAACTCCCAGGATTCCCTGGGCGGGGTCCGGCTCGGGCTTCCTCCTCCCTCGTGCTGCGTGCGAGCGCGGTGGGGCCAAGGGGAGTGTTACTGCGGGCAATTTGGGTAGCGGACCCGAGGAACTTCAGTTAGGGAAAAGGTCCTGTTGAGAGTGCCTGGCGTCTAGTGTCTTCACCCGTGCTGTTTGTGACTTCGGTGGTCCCTTCCACCTTGTAGGTTAGAGTTGAACTTGGTTCACACTGGGGCGCTCCAGCCTTTCCCGAAAAATAAGGCAGCAGGTTAACACTTCGTGAACATTGAAGAGCTGCACACCAGTATTTGAAACTGATCATTTGGAAGCTTCCCAAAGCATCTGACCTGCTGGGAGACTCTGGCTTTAGTTCTCTTTTTCACACTTTAAAAAATACTTTATCGTAGTAAACCCATCTATCCAATTTTGCAGACGGAATTTTACTAATTGTTTGGCTCCTGACAACAGTCCTAAACAGTAAATTTAACTTTATTGTTTCTTTTTACTAACATTACTGAACATCTATTAAGAACCGAGCTGTACGAGAAAATGCAGATCCTTAGTAAAATCGTAAAGGTGAGTAAGCTCACAGAGCTGAGAGTTCAACTAGAAAGAATATAGTTTGACTATAGTCTAAATTTGACCAGAAAAATAATTAGTAAATTTGATCAATGTTACGGCAAGTGCTAGACAGGAAAAATTAAAGGTACTAGGAAAAGGCAAAATTGGAAAACCCATTACACAAATAAAAATAGAGGAACAGAAAGAAGTCACAGACATTTCAGGATTGTTTTGACACAGGGACCTCTAAAGGGACGGAGTACAAACTCCTCTGGCTCTTAACCTGTTACATATTCATTAAGAACATAATTTTTTTTGAGGCAGTCTGGAACTTCAAAATGACTCTTCCTTTGGGCCTCCAAATGCCCAGTAGGCAATTAAAAGTCAAACAAAACTTGGCTTTTGTTTTGTGGCAATCTCCTTTAGTACCTTAAAATATTGGGTTAGATAGCTGGTCAGCTCTCCATATAGTCATATCATTTAAAGAAGGACTGTCTTAAAAGCTGGTGGTACAAAATTTATTAGTTGTAAGTTTACATAACCTATCTCATCCCACTTAATGACTTACAAAACCGAGATAAATTTATAGAAATGTTCACCTGCTGGTGCAGAGTCTCCAGTCAAGGCCATATTTAGCAGGGCCTTCTACAAGCTCAAGCCCAAGCAAAGAGAATCCTCTCATGGACACAGACTTTTCCCCCTCAAGCAATGAAGACTTCTCCCCTCAAGCAAATAAGGACTTCCCCCAGAGGTTAAGGGACCTCAGAGACATGTCTTCTTCTGGAGGTGAGATAATGATCAACCAGCCCCTAACCCACTTTGTCTAATCCATAAAGACTTCTAGGCGATCTACGACAATGAGGCAGGAGGCTCTCAAGTTTGAGTCCAATCTGAGCAATTTAGTGAGATCCTGTCTTAAATATAAAAAGGAGCTAAGAATAAAGCTCATTGTAAATGCCCTGGGTTCAACTACTTCACCGGGTAGGGTACTGACTACTCTTTTGTGTTAATAGTCCAGTCATCCTATAGAACTCTACCCCCTTCCTCAAACAAGTCCTTTCCCTATTTTTTTCTTACCTTCTAACTCTACCTATGCCTCACTGATGCATCCTAAAATTCTCTTTCTCCAATGATAAATCAAGATCCTACTCTGTAGGGCCAAATGATATGCCAGTCTCCTCTTAGGAAAGACCTCATGAGGCCCCATCTGGTGACAGTTTCTTCACGAAATGTATAAAATACATGTTAACTTTTCTGTGATTGGATTTTTATCAAGTGGCAGACTAAGTCCTTTTGATGTAGTATATACAATCTTTCAAATATCAATGACACTGTAAAGCAATTTTTTTTTCTGGTTTTTTGAGATAGGACCCATGTAGTTCAAGCTGGACTTGAATTCACTGTAGTCCTGGCTGGCCTCAAATTTGCTGTAATGCTTTTGTCTCAGCCTCCTGTGTATTGGGATTACAGACATGTGCCATCACACCCAACTAGGTTTTTGTTGTTGTGGTGGTGGTTTTTATCACTTCACACACAAAAACAAGAAAGGAAATAGGTTAAGTACATTGCTAACAGCTATAAGTTTAGGAAATAGTCTTAATTACTCTGCCCCATCTTCTATTATGGGTCCAACAAAGATGTATTGCTTTCCCACCACAAAATGCTTCAGTCACCTATGTCAGGTTGTCTTCATACATAAATGGATCTTCACGAGCTAACATATGCCTATCTGTTCACTGACATTCTGATACCTAAACAGTTAACAGCATGCTACGCTCTCTCAATCTGAGTCTTTACAGATAACATTCCCATTACCTATAAAGAGCCTTCTGCCCTTGTGAAGTTCTCCTGCTCACCCCACTGTGCTAAGGTTTGAAGGAAACCTTCCAGTCAGCCAGACAGAATAGGCATTCCTTCCTCAAGACTCCCTACAGTTTGGACAAACCTCCATCAAGGCAATTATTAAGTCTACAGTTGTGTTCAGCTAGTCTGTGAAATTCCATGAAGGCAAAGGTTCTGATTTGATCTTTGTATATATGTTTACCACCTGATACTGCCTGATACAGTACTGGCAGACAGCAGGGCACTCGATTCCACTTTAAGATGCAAGAAGCAGAATTGGATCCAACTATCAGTTCAGTAGGAAAGCCATGTCATGATCCCAAATAATGAACTGCATGACATCAGAATGGATGTAAAGAAATGCAGGAGTCCAAGGATACCTTGATTTCTAATTAAGAATAGTAGTATATGTACGCACACTCCACGTCTTCACATAGTAATTTCAGAAATCATGTGATCCACACTTATTCCAGTGGCTGAAGACAGGAAGGAATTTAGGATAAAGGGCCAGTTTTTTCTGGGGCAGAAACCTGTTACAGGGGGCAGACAAGGTAGGAAATAGACTATAATAGGATGTGAATGAATGAAGCATATTACCCATGCTTATCCTCCTCAAGCTAGCCTCAAACTTCAGTAGAAAAAGAGAAGAGCTTTAAAAGCCTTAAGTTTCCCTTAAGATCACAGAAAAAGAGAGCTAGCTTTTTTCCCCAGTGTAAACACATCCTAAAACTGATCATTTTGACCCCATGTAGTTGTGTTCCAGTTACTATTCATTCACTGACAGCCTACTGCTATATTTATCAGGCTCTCACTAGTGTCCTCATATGTTCTGTCACCTAGTCTTAAAATGACTCTGTAAGAAAGATATTAACCTCATTTCCCTACTGTGGAAATTGAGTCTTAGAGAGGCTAAGTACCTTGTGTAGCTGGGATCTAAATCACATCTTGTGTGACTCCAACACTGTCCTCTTATCTGTGCGTAAGGCACACTTCAAAACTGAACTTCATCGTGGAGTTATCACTACAGAGTGATTTCCTGAATTTCCAGCCTACGGCCAGGCACATAGTAGGTTCAGAGAGAATATTTGTTGAATAAGTGAATTCAGTATGGGATAATTGACAGTGTTTCAGGACAGCAGAGGAGAGCACAGCTGGCTGCTTAGAGGAAAAGGAGAAGTCTTTACAGAGGAGCAAGATGCCTGGGCAAATAGAGGTAGAAAAAGACTTAACAGTCCAGCCTTCCAAGAGCAAAAGACACTAACTGGTGATTCAGAGAACAAATCCAAAAGGCCATGAACTATCAGAGGTGCTCAGCATCACTAATAATCAGAAATATGCAAGTAGTCTCATACACAGTGGGTGGGAATACAAGTTGAAAAGGTATGTGCAAATAATTATTTAATATTATCTATCAAAATTTTAAGTGAAAGCTGGAGATTTAATTCATGGCAAAAGCCCTAGGTTTGATGACCACACACACACATTCACACAAATTAAATTTTGTTCCTAAGTGTATATTTGTAAATGTATCCCAAAATATTCTAATAGAAAAGTGAAAAGTAAGTGTTCATTAATAAGAAACAAAACAGGGACACATCTGTACTATTTTTAAAGCTATGCTTCTGAAAAAGAAAAAAATGAAACACTATCTTGGATAGTTCATGGAAAGATCCCCAAGGCT